ATTTATATCTTTTGACCATTTATCAATTGGGGAATGCCTCTTCTTTTTATAAATTTGGCTCAGTTCTCCATATATTTGGGAAATTAGACCTTTATCAGAGAAATGTGCTGCAAAATGTTTCCCAGTTTCCTGGTTTCCTTCTAATTTTTGCTGCATTGGTTTAGTTTGTGCAAAATCTTTTTAATTTAATGCCATCAAAATTATCCATTTTACCTCCAGTGAACCTCTCCATGTTTTGTTTGGTCATGAATTCTTCCCCTATCCATGGATCTGACAGGTAATTTCTTCCATGCTCCCCTAATTTGATTATAATATCCTTGCTGTCTAAATCATGTACCTATTTTGAGCTTATATTGGTATAGTGTGAGATGTTGGTCCATGCCTAGTTTATGCCAGACTGTTTTCCAATTTTCCCAGCAGATTTTGTCAAACAATGAGTTCTTGCTCCAGTAGCTAGTAACTTTGGGTTTATTAAACCATACTCATTGAGTCACTGTGCTCATTTGCTTCAGTATATTGTGAACCTAATCTATTCCATTAATCAGCCACTCTATTTCTTATACAGTACCAGATTGTTTTGATGGTTCCGCTTCAAAATATATTTTGAAATCTAGTAGTACTAGGTCCCTTTCCTTCACATTTTTTCCCATTGATTCCATTGATATTCTTGACCTTTTGTTTCTCCAAATGAATTTTTTTATTTTTTCTAGCTCTATAAAGTGATTTTTTTTATTGGTATGGCACTAAATAAATTAATTTAGGTAATATCATCATTTGATTGTTACTTGCCTTTTTTTTTTTAACTTCAGCTTAAGCATAACAGATTCTGTTCCAGGTTCTCATTTTACTCTGGGTATGTTATCTGCTATCTTCTTCTGTTTTATGGGTGAGTTCATTCCATTCATATTCACAATTATGTCTGTTTATTATGTATTTCACTCCATCCTATTTTCTACTATTTATCTTTCTCTTTTTTAACCCTGTCCTCTCTTCAAATGTCTCTTTTGCTTCTGACCCTTGCCTCCCCCCTCTTAATCTGTGCCCCTTCATCACTCAATTCCTTTTTCCTAAACCCCTTTAACCTTGCTGTATTCTTTATGATTTCTCACTCATGTTTGCCTTTTTATGCTTCTCTTGAGTCTTGTGTTCCTTCCACGAATACTCCTGAGGATGTCCACCTTATGTTTTAGGTATCTTCCTCTTTAGTCACTGTATAAATACTGTCCTACATTTGAAAAATCAGGTGTGTTAACAGAAGATAGAGAAATGTAGCCAGATAACACCCCAAGTGAAAACAAAGAATGACTTGGAGGTTTCAGTGTAATTTCAGCTCAATATAAAACAAAAATATGACAGTAGCCACCAACATTAATGTGATCTGAGGTTGGTAGAAATCCCATTTTCAATTTTCATGTCCTTGGGATAAAAGAGCTAATGTCAGGCTTCTCTCTATTAAAAGTCATAATAATTATGATAAATCTCATTTATAAAGTAAAAAGTTGTTTTACAGATATTATCTAGTTTGATAGAGGCATTGGGGCAAAGTGGATAGACAGCTGGCCTTAAAACCTAAAAAAAAAAAAGAAGACCTGAGTTCAAATCCTGTCTCTAACACATTCTGGTTATGTGACCCTAGGTAAGTCACTCAGCTCTCAGTACTTTGGGCCACTCTTTAGCTTCTTGTGAAGAGGGTGCCAACCTGCATTGGTAGAGAAAGTTTTCTTATCTCAGAATTCTCTATACCAATGAAATACCATTCATTCCCTATGTATGTAGTTTAATCCATATAACAGCCCCATTCGTCAAATATTCTCATTCTGTGATTGAAAAATGGAGGCTGAGGGTTTAAATCACTTGACTAAACAAAACTAACTAATGGAGGAACCAAGGCTTAACAACAAGAATTATTCCTACAATGTCCTGCTCGTAGTCAAAACTTAAATATTTGTCTCCTTGAATATTTTCTTGAACGTGAAAATGGACTTATCAAAGCAAGGAGAAAGATAGCTTATAGATGCTATCTTCATCTACTTCCTCTTCCTTTTGGGTGATATTTTATTTAGATATATCATTAAGGATGATCATTGGGCGGGCTTTGCTTTGGTAGGTAATGTATATCTAACACCAGAGGGGTAAAGAAGGAGGTTCATTGATACTTGGTAACAGGACAAAAGAATTGAGGGGAATAGCTCTCAGAAAAAAAAAATCATCTGGCACTTTCAGTCCATGGGGCTATTGACGGACAGAGGTCAGAGGAAACACTTGCATAAGATTATTCTCTAGATGATGATTCCTTATAACCACATAATTAAAATTCAATTCAATTCAACAGACATTTGTCAGATGACTCTCTATAGCACTGTGTTGGATACTGAGCTGGGAATTAGCAGGAAACAGCATATTATTCCCTCCCCATAACCTCATTCTACAATGTCATTGAAGACACCAAAGAGTTAAGTATAAGATGACAATATATGAATCCATGACAAAAAATTGTACAGTGATATACAAACCTGGTCCATATATCATTATAGGTGGAGACATCACAGTGCAGTGCAGAAAAACAATTCAATCTGGTAGGGAGTTCATTGATTTTCTAGTCTAGGAGTTCTTAATCTTTTTATCTTTATCATGAACCCCTTTGGCAGTCTGGTGAAGATTATGGACTCAACAGAATAATGATATTTGATGCAGAAAATAAAACACATAGGATTACAAAGGAAACTAATTACATGGAAAAATTTTTTTTAAATTTTTTTAAGTTCATGAACCTTAAGTCTTTAAGAACTCCTGTATCTCTTCTGTATGCACCTGAAAAGAATTCCCTCTATCCAGTGATTTGTTGATAAATGTTTAATAACTGGCTTTGGGGGTGGGGAGGATGTACACAGGACACACTTTTAAATTTACTCTGCATCATTAACATTTTCTCCATCACTGTCTTATGTCTATGCAATCAACAAAATAAAAAATCATCCAGATTTGTAGCATTTGCTGATTTCTGAGGTAAATGCTTATACTGAAAATTTAACCATCATCACTTTCAAGAAGGCAAGCACTGGCATCAGTCACTTCCCAACTAGTGTTCACCTGTCATTCACATCTTTGATGCCATTTGTACCTTTACCCAAGCCACTGATAAAAATGTTGAACAGTACATATTCAGCCTTTGTTGGAAGACCTCCAGAACAAGGGAACCACCTGCCTTCCAAGGCAGCCTATTCTAAGGTAGGAGTTTTTCCATAGATCGAACTAAAGCCTGCCACCTTTCAGTTTCGTTTTACTTCTCCTAATTCTCTTCTCTGTGGATATGCAAAATAAATGCAACCCATTTCTCATATGAAAACCCTTGAAATGTTTAAAAAGATCTATCATTTCCTCCCCCTAGTCATTTTTTTCCAGGATAAACATCCCTAGTTACCCAAAATGCCCTTATATGACATAGTCTCTGATCGTCTCACCATCCTGGTTGCCCAGTCCTCTAGGTTGTCAATATGCTTTCTAAAATGCAGAATTGAATATAATACTGAAGATATACCCGATCAGAGGAGAGTAACATGGAACTATTAGCACCCTCATTCTGGACAACTGCTTCTATTAATATAAAGATCATGTCAAGGATTGGATTTTAGTTTTGTTCTGATACCTCACCCTAATGTGAAGATTACCCTGGATCTAGCAGATCATAACCTCTGGTACGTTCTTCTAAGCTGGAGAGGCTTTGAGTACAATCCTAGCAAGAGATGGTCATCACAGGACATTTTAAGTTCGGAGACGCTTATTATCAGAGTCACCAATTAATAATTTCTTGGACCACATCAAACACTAATATTTAATAAGCTCCCAGTGCTCTAGGCAATTCTTTAAGTTATTGTGAACTGCATGGGTGGAGGGAATATCTATGCTGACAAAATCACAATCTTTGAAATATTGAAATCAGCAGATAATTAATCATGAATAGGACAAAATAAGGGAAATAAACCTAAAGAATAAATTTTAGATCCCTCGATAAACAGAATCATACTATACCTAGTCATTTTATCACCAAGATATTCAAAGATCGTCTTATTAGAAATAAGCTGAATGTCCAAGAAATAAAATTAAAGGCTAACACCAAATGCAGGCCACTATTGGTAGCACAGCAGATAGAGCGCCAGGTCTGGAGTCAGGAAGACCTGAGTTCAAATCCAATTTCAGAACTTGCTAACTGTGTGACCCTGGGCAAGTAACCTAACCCTGTTTGCCTCAGTTTCCTCAATTATAAAATGAATTGGAGAAGGAAATAACAAACAACTCCAGTATCTTTGCCAATAAAACCCCAAACAGGGTTACAAAGAATTCTCATGAGTGAAATAACACAGCAAAAACAAACTCCAAATATGCTAAATGGGTCGTGTTCCACTTTTCCAAGGACAGGTTTTCAGAAGATGATTATTTACAAAAATATAAAATGCAACTAAGATATCTAGGAAAAGCGTGACACAATGCTGTTTTATAGCTTTAAACTTGAACTACTTCCATGGCAATAGCCATTGTGATATCAGAGTCTGGTCACTTGACCAACCCACACATGAGTCTGCAGAGTTTGCCAATATTCCAAAGAGTTCTAGTTGGGTGTCCTAAGAGAAGAGAGCAACCCAGAATCCTTTAACATTACCTCTGGTGTTCCTCATGTTAGGGCCTTCTAGCTGGCTTATATGGAAGCTATCCAACAAAGAGGATGGGAAAAACCTACTTTGTTCCAGTGTTATGTTCCCCTGTGTTTTTGGTTCAGTTCTTTCCCTTCCCCTAACTTCCCCCCTCCCATCTCAACCACATGTACCCTATTTTTTTTTTAGGCAATGGGGTTTAAGTGACTTGCCCAGGGTCACACAGCTAGTAAGTGTCAAGTATTTGGTCTGAGGACAGATTTGAACTCAGATCCTCCTGACTTCAGGGTCTGTGCTGTATCCACTGCCCCACCTAGCTGCCCCAACATCCACCCTATTTTACTATGAAAAATGATTCAACTCCTGACCGAAAGGGTAAAAACTACAGCTGGGCACATGAGGACACCAATAACTATTCAGTGCAAAAATATTTTAAAAACAGTGTTCAGATTTGCAAGGTACAGCTCCAGACTTCAGTAAAAGTACTATCTAAGACAACAGATGGTCATCCCATAGATGCCTTTAGCAGAGATGAAATGAATTTACCTTTAACTGTAATGTTTTGAGACATTAAAACTTCACAAGATATCCTTCTGAGCCAATTGACTGACATTGTTACTGCCACGTCCACAATCCAAGAAAAAATTGACACTTATCAGAAGCCGATGGAAGGGATAGAAACCAGGGTGAGTGTTAATGAAGACAGGCAATCCAAAATGGCTAATGACTCCTCTTAATAAAAGAAGATGTCACAGTTTTGAGGAAGATAGCCATAGATTTCGAAGCTCAGAGTCTGTGCTCCACCTTGCACTGTGTAGAGATTGCTGATGGAGAGAAGAGCAGAGAAGTAGAGGAACTGATCTACAATGTCACGGGACCTACAATACAACAAAATTAACTGGTGGCCACAGCTGAACTAGAGGAAGTCCATGGCACATCAGGATCTAGATCCCACCAAGATGGAAAAGCTGGCTCCCAGATGATAAAAACCTTGAAGGAAAACAGTCAAGAAAATTCAGTGAGGAGCTTCAAGAAAGAAAATTCAAATATCTATATTTATCCAGACTTCAGTACATGGATCAACTCATTTTTGTCCATGGAGGGAAGTGGAGATTTTTTTCTCAGTGCTAACACACTGGAAGAATTCATCCAATGGGTCCTTACTAGGCCAGCAGTCTTCCCTGGAAAGCCCCAGCTCATAGTCCAAAGACATTATACATTTTCTGGGCCTTTCATATGCCTGACTACCTCTACTGCTTTTTTTCATTCTGCAAAAGAACAAGTAACTAGAATGTAGAGTGTTTTAGAGAGTCTATTATCTCATGATTTGACTGACATGAAATAAACGTATCTTGCTTGCCCTGGGTATTCACTTGTCTATTTGGCAGCAGGGACCCGCTTTATGAAATGTTCCTTTTTTGAGTCAGTGCTCTGCTAAGTTTCTGAATAGGAGCAGAAACTTCAGGCATAGGCTCCAACTGTTCTGTCATGATCCATTTCCTGGTGATGCTGATAGCGACATTGCATAGGGATTTGCCAGACCTAGAACTAGCAATTTCTCTGCACCAGGAAAGTTTCAAAAAATGCAATCAGGACAAACAGCAGGAAAGAGCTTTCAAATCAATATTTAAAGAAAAATTCCATCCAGGGATGGGAGAGGGAGAACCTAAGGCACATGGCCCCATGGGGAAGGGTGGGGCAAGACCTTTGTGCAGTACCTCGATCAGGAGAAATAGAGACTCCTGAACATCTTATGCTACTACTCAAGATGCTACTGCCTGGGGGAAGGGGAACAGAGCAGGATTTAGCCAAAAAGAGATCTAAATCATGGCTACTTGAGGACTGAGAGGAGGTAGGTAGAAGGAAAGAATCATGCAAACTGGGTATCTTCCTGTTTTAATTATTCTTGCTAACTAGGTGCTAAGCTCAGTTGTTTTCCACACTGTTGAAGGAGTGGATTGTCAATGTCCCTTAAATTTCAGTGACCAGGGTGAAACTCTGATCATTCTACCCTCATTACATCTCCATGGCTTGCTTCTAACCCAAGACAGGTAGAGTAGTGGAAAGAAAACCTTAGAGCTAGGGAGACTTGAGTTGAAATCCAGCCTCTAACACATACTGGCTGTATGACTCTGGACAAGTCACTTAACCTCTCAATGTTCTAGGCAACCCTCTAATGCTATAAGGTGCTAGCTTGTATTGGTAAAGGAAGTCTTCTCCTCATGGGGTTCCTAATACCAGTGTAATCACAAATTAATCAAATATTTGTTAAGCACTTACCTATGTTCCAGGCATTCTTCTAATTGCTAGGGATAAAAAGACAAGTAAAGACAAAGTACTTCACCCTCAGGGAGTTAACATTCTAATGGTAGAGACAACATTCAAACATCAATGTACATACATAATATGTAGAGACTGGTTGCAGGATAATCACTGAGGGAAGACACCAGCAGATGTAAAAAGAAGGAGAAGGAAGACTGAATAAGGCTTCTTGCAGAAATTAAGATTTGATCCAAGTCTTGAAGGCAGCCAGGGAAGCTGTAGGTGGAAGTGACAGAAGAGAGCATTCCAAACATGGACAGTGTAAAAGCAAAGTGTTGGGTAAATAGAGGGTGTTTCATATGAGAAGCAGCCAGAATGTAGATAGCAGGTATTGCTAGATCATAAAGTATTAGGAATATGGTACGGTACAAGAAGACTGAAATGATAGGAAGGGGGCAAGTTGTGAAAGGCCTTAAAGGTCAAAAAGAGCCTTTTATATTTGATCCTGGAGGTAATAGAGAGCCAATGAAATTATTGAGTAAGGGTGACATGTACAAACCTACTCTTCAGGGAAAGTAGAATGGATTGGAGTGGGGAGACCAACCAGAAGATTTTTTCAGTAGTCTGGACATAAGGTGAAAAAGCTGGGGGCAGGTAGGTGGCGCAGTGGATAGCCCCAGCCCTGGAGTCAGGAGGACCTGAGTTCAAATCCAGCCTCAGACACTTGACACTAAGTAGTTGTGTGACGCTGGGCAAGTCATTTAACCCCATTGCCTAGACCAAAAAAAAAAAAAGAGCCAACCCCAGGTTGATGGCTGAGTGGAAAGAAAGGAGGTGTACATGAAAAATGCTATAAAGGTAGAAATGTCAAGTTTTGACAACTAACTGGATATGTAGAGTAAGTATGAGAGAACAGTCAAGGGTGATGACACTGAGGTTGCAAGCCTGGGTTACCAGGAGGATTGTGGTACCTTGGTCAGTAACAGGAAAGTTTGGAAGAGAAGAGGATTTGAGGGAAAAGATAATGAGTTCTTCCAGTCATTTTGAGTTTGAGATGACTATAGGACATCCAGTCTGAGATTTTCAAAAGGCAATTGGTAACCCAAGACCAGGGATCAGGAGAGACTAGGGCTGGACATATAGATATGGCATCATATGCATAAGGTAATAATTGAATCATGATCGCTGATGAGATCACCAAGTGAATAGTATAGAGAGAGAAGAGGCAGGAGTCTAGCACAGAGCCTTGGGAGATATCCGGACTTTATTAATGTGATCTGGATGAAGAGCTAGCAAAAAAAAAAATTGAGGGAAAGGTCCAACCCTATTTTCAAATATGAATAGAAGCAATATCAGGGAATAAAAGAGACAACTCAATGTTGATTGTGTTGCTTGGGATAGCAAAAAAAAATGTCCTTCCAGTAGCCAGAGGTCCTTATAAAGGAGGAGCAGCCAGCTTCCTACCCTTTTCTTGATACTCTTTTAAAAATTAAATTTGTGATACCAAAGTCATACTACCTTAACAGAACTTTAAGAGCTATTGTTAAGGTTTCTAAACGTATAATCACACAAGAAGCAGCAAAGTAGGCTCGAAGTCAAAGTGCTGGCTATGGCAGATTCGAACTCAGGAAGATGAGTCTTCTTGACTGCAGGCCTCATACTCTATCCACTACACCACCTGGCTGCCCCTCCCACATAGTTGGCATCTGACTATATTCATAGGTTCCCAAAATGTGTAATACTGCTCCCTAGGGGGCACTGGGATGATGGGGGGGTGGGGTAATAGCCTCTGATGCAATTGGAGGGTGTTGAATAAAAATAAGAGGGCAACAGAAACATAAGGAAAGAAGAGAAGATAAAATTTTGAAAAACCATTCGTACGTGTTTCATCTGTTGTGTAACAGTTAAAGTCGTGGTGATTACATCATTTTCCAAATAAACACAGAAAATGAAAGTTATAACTAATCAGTGGTCAAGTCCGCTGACAGGTCTTGACAAGCAAATGTTGGCAGGTGAGCGTGTCGGGCATTGTTTGGGAGTCCAGAGTGCATTGGCAGGAATATGTGGGTGTAATGACTTGTTTACAATATGATACTCTACAGTTACATGACACAATGTTGTGTCATCAAAATTTCAATGCGGGAAAAAAACCACACATTTACAACAAATTATAAAATTTAAGATGTATCATTTTAAAAAATATATTTTATATTTTTTGAAATGACACAAATTTCAAAAAGCCATTAAAGGTTTAAAGAAAGTAAATTCCCAGGAAGGGAATTTTTTAAAGGGGGCAGTAGGCCAAATAAGTTTGGGAACTTCTGGTACTATTTTATGAATGAAGACTTCATGTGTAAAAAATGTCTTCATTTCTAATTGTGTATAAATTTCAATCAATTGTATTAATAAAGTTTGCAACAAATTAAGAGTTTGTCACTGTCAGAGGCAGCTGGATGAGGCATTGGATAGAGAGATGGACTTACAGTCAGGAAGACCTGAGTTCAAATAGTACCTTAGATACTTATTAGCTATGTGACCCTCTGTTAGTCAGCTAACTTCTGTCTGCCTCATTTTTTCTCATCTGTAAAATGGATATAATAATAGTACCTACCTCCCAGGGTAGTTATGAGAATCAAATGAGCTGATATTTGTAAAGCTTTTTGCAAACCTTAACACTGCAATATAAATGCTAGCTATTGACTACAGCTATCTGTACATCAAATCACAGTTATTGTCTGGTCTCCATGTTTTCTTTCTTTTAATTTCTAAATGCATTTATTAAACATATATTATGTGTCAGGATACAAAGAAAAAAATGAGACAGTCCTGGTCCTCAAGGAATTTACTTTCTACTGGGAAATCACAAGATTAAATTAAATTAAATGACAGATAAAAAGATACAAGATATATACAAACTGAATACAAAGTTATATGAGAGAAGGAGAGACTAAATTCAGGGAAATAAGGAATGGTCTCTTAAAAGAGATAGCACTTGGCCCAAGCCTTGAAAAGAGTTTTCCACGAAGCTGAAGTAAAGAGGGTGAACATTTCAGAAATGGGAGACAGATTATGCAAAACCACAGAGGCAATAGGAGATTAGACACAAGAATTAACGCATAGGCCAGGTTGGCTGAAATTTCAGTGTGAAGATGTGTAAGGTTTAATTACTCTGGAAAAATGCCATGGGATCCAGATTATAAAGGTCTTTGAATGCCCAACATACGATAGGGAGGTAGTGAAGCTTCCTCAACAGTGAAATGTTGTGGTCTCTCATCATGGAAGGTGATGGATCTCAGATCAGACAGACAATTCTTGTGACTACTTAAAAGGCCTGGCTTATTTCTCTCTTAAAGGAAAAACTTCGCCGCAAGGGTACTTTTTTTTCCATTACGAGAATCTTTAGCAGACTCAATTCTCAGACTGTGAAGTGATTTCATAGGATTGTAGATGTATAGCTGAAAGGTGCATTAGATACCACCTAGTCTAACCTCCCAATTTTACAGTTGAGGAAACTAAGGTTCATATATGTTAGGTCACACAAATGGCAGATAATGGCACCAGGATTCAAACTCAGGTCCTCTGACTCCATACCCACCATTCTTTCCACTCTCCATCTGTGAGTATGTCTTAGCACCTTGCTAGACTGTCACTTCCCTTAAGGTAGGGACATTGTCTCCTTCTTCTGCACTTCTTTCTTAAATTAAATTACATTTTTTAGGATTAATTCAACAATTTAATAATCATCAACAAATATGAGCATTTCACTTTGCAAAGATTACATACGGAACCATGAACTTGTGTTTTGTAGTTATTGTTTTTTTAAGTGCAGGTTATTCTAGTTTGTGACCCATTCTGAAGTTCCTTTTAGAAATGTTTTAAGTGTATTATTCAAGCTCTTTTTTCTTATTGTAATCTCTCTCACCACACACTAACTCACCTTACTCACCAAAATAAAATCTCCATTGTGACAAATAAGTACATACAGGGAGGCAAAATAATTTGCTATCTCCTTCTGTACCTCTTGTCCATCAATTC